CCCTCAGCCAGTCCTGTCTTTAATGCCCTCTGTACAGGTACCAGTACCCTGACACCGAGGACTTGGGCCGAACAGAGGGCATCTACAGGACCATATACCTAAGAAACTAGAACTTTCCAGAAGTTTGCTACTGTAAGCCAAGGTGCACTTTCTAATATGTCACTCCACAGTCAGAGTCTAGACTAAAGGGGACTAAGTTAACACTGTTCAGATCACAGCTTTATTGCTCTCAAGCTCTGTGGCCCTAATGAATTCACTTGTCCTCTCTCAGCTTTTTATGCTTGGGTGAAATGAAAGTACCTTGATCTTATTAAGCCTGCACCAGGTAGGTAGGTGGATAGGTAATAGATGACAGATGATAGATTTCAAAACAATCACAAAGTTCTACTTGACACGTAGCCCAGCAAAGAAGGTGTGGTCAGGGCATGAGGACGTTGACCATGATGGCTGCATCCAGGCAGCCTCTATGTGTGGTTCCCAGGGCCTTCTGGCCACATTTGACTCCTGAGAGAAGAGAGGATGAAGGCAAGAAGGGAATGGTACTTAGGCTCGGATGTCACCAGGGAAGAGGTATCATTTCTGATCCACCACAGCCCGAGCACCAAACCTCAGAATGCAGAAGGTGTTTTGTACTCTCAGCCTCCCTGACCTCACTCTGTCTTCTCAGCACACCAGACAGCCTCCCTCCAGGAGAAGCAATGCTCTGGCGTCATGGCCAGCGCTCCCTCTCCCACACAAAGCCCTGCCCTCCACAGCTGATGCCCAGTCACGGAGGGAGCGGGCCTCGGGTGACTTGTGCTCTTCCCACCCCACAGCAAGGCTACTGCTGTCCACCCTTCTTGCAGGAACTAGAGAACTCGCACGTGGAGGTCCTGAAGGACATGCAGAGGTCCTGGAGGAGGCCACATGGAGGTCCTGGAGGAGGCCAGGTGGAGGTCCCAGAGGAGGCCACTTCGCATCAGCAACTCCCCGGACTTGAGAGGGCACATGGGGCAGCTCACTCTCCTGGCTCCTTGCTCTCTGCGTGTGGAGGTTTCCCTTACTCAGTGACACACTCGTCACCCAGTCCACTCAGCACCCAGGCTCTGCTCAGCTCTCCTGGGCAGCTCTTCTAGGCCACACTGCCCTCTGACCTGCTCTGTTCTATAGCACGTCCTGCTTTCACACGACCTGGCCTAGACAGGAACGGACACTATCATCTGGCTGCACCCTGATTCTGACGGGGACGTTGGAGTGAAGGTCGCACCTCAGGGACGTCCTCACCGAGGTAAGGGCTCAACTGTCCTGTGCCAGCACTGTGGGTCCATGGCAGGGACCTGCAGCAGCTAGAACCTGAACCCCCAGACCCTGGGTCTGTGAGGTCACAGGAAGCTGAGCCGTGGCCTGAGGCATCTTCTAGGAAAACCACAGACACTGACCAGGAGGCCCCAGGGATCCCAGGAGGCCTGAGCACATGGCCGTGGGATTCTCTCTGTAGAGCCCCTTAGCCAAGGAAGGAAATGCTGGCCTGAGGCGGAGCGGACAGCATGAAGCCCAAACCCAGATCTGTCACCTGGAGAGTACCTTCCTGTCAGGGCCCTGGTGGCACTAAGGATGGTGGCACCTGTGTGCCCAACACTGAGGCACCCACAGCAGGTCACAAATGCTAATGGACATGGTGACCTTTCACTTACACTTCAGTACAAAGCCACTTTCACACACGGTCCCTGATGTGGATGGCTTACACAGGCACAGGCTCCCAGACACGCGTGGGAGTCCAGAGGCACTTACATCACGTCTCACGGTTGGTGATTGGTAGCAGTGAACCCTGATAACTCATGATCTTCATGAGTAATGGGAGCTGTGACCTCATCGTGGGCAGACCCACAGGTTACTAGTTGGGAAGGATGCTGGGGGAAGTGGTCACTGGGGTGTGCCCAGGGCGTCACCTTGTGTCCTGGATTCTTGGCCCCTCTCTTTCTGCTTCCTGGCCACCATGAGCTGAGCAGCTCTCCTCCACCACACCCCGCCCCACTCAGGCCCAGAGCCATGGTGCCTGCTGGCCCTGGACTGACCTTGGAAACCGCGAGCCAAAACCAACTGTTCCTCTGCTAAGTGGTTCTTGTTAGGATCCTTGGTCACAGAGGTGAAGAGCCGACTACCTCAGTGCACGCCCCACCTGCAGATGTCTCAGAGACGAGCCACCTGCTCTGGGAGGCTGCGGGTCAGGGGCTGGCATTGGAGGAGACTCCATGATTCTCTCCCCGTTCCTGCCTCCCCACATCTGGCGAATGGCCACTCCCTCTCCAAGAACCAGCCAACCTGATAACCTGCACCTTCCACAGAAAAACAGATCATCCTCCTCTTGCTCCTGTCCAGAATTTTTCCAATTTTCTTTCTGCCTGCCTGGAGAAGGCCGGTGTTTCAGGAGTCCAGAAGATGTTCAGATGTTTGGTTGTCCTGCCCCTTCCTGCTGCCATGACCTGTTCCACTCAACATCCCCCCACCTGCTCTCTTTAAAGTTGCTTCCCATTTACATCCAGGTCTCACAACAAACTGAATTTAGAAATGAGTTTTGCCACATGTTTTAGGTCCTGAGAAACAAGGCTGGTGGGTGAACACAGGGCATTTCAATATTTTTTTTAATTAGGTTTTTAAGTAACTTCCCAGTGGGTAATTTTATGAATTATTTCAGCCATCGCAGGTCAAGTAGCTCCTGACTGCATGTCCTAAAATCCCACTGTCCTAAGTCTGTACAATGCCAGATGACCCAGGCCCTGCTCACTGTGTAAGCTGCAAACACAAGAGCAGGGGAGTGACCAGGACAGCTGGAGACAGGGACCACAGTGGAAGCTCATCATGTTCTCAGGACCATTCATCTGAGACAAGCTGCTGAATCACCACCCCTCTCTCTGCACCTCTTCCCAGGGCCAGGGTGTGAAGCCCCTGCCGTGTGTGCCCATCGGTGTTTCTGTGCATGCTCTGTGAGTGTGCATCTAACCAAGACCATGGGAAGCACACCAGGTGACCTTGAGAAGGTCGTCTGGAGGCCGGGGTTTGGGGACAGAGCAGCAGATAGGAGGCCACCAACAAGGCTCTCGTTGCCAAGTGCTCCGTAGACTTCCGTGCTTGATCACAAAGCTTCTTTTGTCTTCAGGAAAATAATACAAATAGTGTGTGTGTGTGTGTGTGTGTGTGTGTGTGTGTGTGTGTGTCCTGCATTAATATCTAGAAAGCCTCCAATCCATCTTTAGCACCAGGAACCTTGGAAGTCCCAGAGGCTGTATAGAATGTGTTGGCAGTTTTAGGAGGAGTTGGCCATTGCGACTTTGTGTGACAGCTGCTCTGCTGACCACCGTGCTCATACTATAACATAAGTGATTTTAGGGGATGAAAGTAACACTTGTGTGTCCTACATAAGCCATGGTGTCCTCTCTGTCCCCCTCTGGCACTACACGCACCTAAGAGGCGGTGCTGCAGGTTGGGACGGTGTGTGTTGGGAAGATGGAGAGGCCTGCCCCTTGCAGCACCTTGGTCTCTTCTGTTGTGGGTGTGCAAGATGACATCCTAAGTTTGGGGTAGAGAAACCAAGGGTTCTGGGGTACAGGGCCCCCCACCATGCCACGCCACTCCTCAGGTGGGGAGCTCCTGCTGCATTACACCCCCACCTTGCTACACTCACATGGGTCTGTCCTGCAGGAGGATCAAAACCGCAGCACCGGAATCCAGGCAAGAGCCCCAGAGCCCCCAAGAGGCCGGCTTGGCCCCGCTTCCTGTGTCTTGAGCCAGCAGCTTACCCAAGAGCCAGTCAGGAAAATAGAACTTGTTAAGAATGTTTAGAAAAGAAAGGGGTGGGAAGCACCCCAATATAAATAACAATGTGAAAAAAAATGTAATTAAGAGTGGTTTCATGTGCACAAAGATATAAGGGCCCTTTGTATTATTTTCTCTGTTCTTGAGGATGATCACGGAGCTAGTCAACAATATCCCTGACTCATCTCTGCTCATTTCCTTTTTAATGGGATCTACCACTCCACTTTTGACGCTTTTTATTCTGTTGATTCCTTCAACTAAACTCTAAAGATAAAAGGCATAATAGTTCAAAGGACTAGGAAGTTGCTCTCCTAGTGAGAGCTGTGTGTCTGGGTGGTGTGTTTGCAGGCATTCCTCAGGAGAGTGCAAAACCCACACTGTTAGACTATTTGTTTTCCAATCTTCATAAATCACCTTCTTCCAGGCCATCACTTTGTGATCAGGTTGAGTGACACCTACGTGTGTAGAGAAATCCATTGGCACAGTTCAACAAAGGTAGGGCCTGGGGGAAGATGGCATGAGGGAATGGGGACCGCAGGGGCTGACACAGTGGAGTGGAGTTCACCCAGCATCTGGGACCATGCTGTACCCAGCCCTGGTGATGAGCATTGTCCCTGTGCTGTGAGGGTCTGTCTCCAGTGCAGCTGGGGGAAGAGGGACAGAGGAGAGCACTGTCCAGCTTTGCCATTGACCCTTTGGCCTCCTGGTCATTCCAGCAAGGCGGGAATCTGGAAGGTCTTCCTTCTCTGGGCAGGAAGAAAGGAACATTCACTTTCATTCCCCTGAAGTCTGATAAAAAGGAAAGTGGCCCTGTGCCCTCAGCAAACATGAGGGTCACAGATGGTTTAAAGATGTAGTGATCATTGGCTCTGGGATCCTGAGTCCCCATGAAGGCCAACCCCAGAGTGCAGACCCCAGGCAGGAATAGGCGTGGGCTCACTGCTGGCTTGGGGACCCTGCCCTGGCCTCTGCTCAGAGAACAGCCCCATGCCTGCCGGCATTAGTATATATATTCGTATATTAGCCACCTGACTTCCTAGCAGGTTAACTGTGACTGTAGCTACAGTCCTCAGCCCCAGGCCTGTCACTCAGGAAGGGCTGGCTGAACCCCACCTGCTGCCCCTGTGGGGCAGAAACATGGTGTGCATGTGCTGTGTGAGCCCCTGGTCAGAGGTGAGTTTGAATCTTGCACTGTTACATCATCATGACCTCATAGAGCCCTGTTCACAGCCCAGGTCAAGGCCAGTAGCCAGTGGGGACCAGGCATTGCTCAGGCAAGTTTCTTATCCTAAATCCCACTGATGTTCCCACCGTGGTGTCACCTGCCTCATGGATACAGCAGGACCCTGGATGCCCCACTTTTGTGCTCTTGGAAAGGTAAGTTTTAAAAAGGTGGAGAGAGTCTATTGGAAGCAGCCTGGAGATAAACAATTTCCTTCACCCCAAGTGTGAGCCTGGGGCCACCCATCTGCCACAGAGATGTGTATGGGAGCACAGAGTGTCCACAACTAGGAGACTAAGGATGGTGTCTCCTTGGCTGCAGATGGTTCTTTTTAAACTTTCTTACTATGGAAGATTCCACACGTATTCAAAGTGCAGAGAACAGTATGAGGACCCAGTGTTCCCACATCTGTCTTCGGTCTCCATACAGCATCTTTTAAATGTGCAACTGGAGAAAGTGTGATTTGGAAACAGGGAAGCAACCTTATCAACCACTGACTCAACATGATGGCTCCCAGGTTTACGTGACCTGTAGGGTCACCAAAGGCATTTGAGTTTCAGAGCCTCAGAATTATTCAGATGCTGCTGGATCCATAGAGTGGTTTCTAGTCTCATGGAGACTATTATCAACTGGATTACAAGTTAGAGTGACAGTGGCATGGGCCACGTGAGATGCATCTGCATGTAGGGCATCACAAATAGAGCCCTCAGGTACCTCTGCCATCCAGATGGAGCTGTGAAGAAGGTGCCCTGCTTGGCATGGCAAAAAGCAGAGCTCTGCAGAAGGAGAAGCAGAGACTTGGCCAGAGAGGCTGGGCATGGAGCACAAGGACATGGAGCACAAGGACATGGAGCACTGCCAGGCATCCACAGCTCCTGTTCCAACCAAGCAGTTGGGTTGGAACAGGGGATCTATTGCCAAACCAAGAGGATCTCTAGGAAGCCAGCCCTCAGGACCCGAGGTCTACCTGTTTCTTCACCCAAGTACGTGAGCACCACACCTTGGCAAATCTTACTCCCTAGCGCCCTGTCCCACCACCCACTGGTCTCCAGCACCCCCCCCCAGCATTGCCAATGTAAACTGCAGCCACTCCCACACTGGCCTTTGGCAGGGCCTCCCTGTATGTAGATCTCACCCCTGACACATGTTTTCCCCACACTGTGGGGTCAGGACAGACCTAGTTGTCCCACACTCTCTCAGCCTTACCTTGGGGTGACCTCCATCTGGCTGAAATTCTCCTGGTGATCCACCTGGCCGAGCCCAGCCATGTGATCTCCAGGAGCTCACGTTATTTCCAACTTCATTTCAGTGCTGACCCTTAGCACAGGTGTCGCCTCCTGTTGAGGGCCACAGTCGGGATGACGCATGGCATTTTTGCCAGAAGTAGTGGTTGAGAGACGATGCCAGTGAGCCATTAAGATGAAGACTTTTGAGTTCTCGTGGAGTTCCCGTTGAGTTCCGGTTGAGCTCTCGCGGGGATTCCTGAAGAGTTCGAATTGGTTGGGGAAGTGCTGGAGGAGGGATTTCTGGTTGTGGGTTTCTGGAGGAGCCACATGGTGTTTGGGAGAGTTCCTGGGGAGCGTGTGGAGTGTGCTGGTGGAGTTCAGAAATAAAGTTTGTTCCTCTTGAGTGGTTCGTGATTTGTGCCCAGCCAGACTGCGGCAATTGGTGGCCCATGCGGGGAACGCCTGAAGCTCGGAGGTAAGTGAAATTGCTCGCCCCTGAGGGAAGGTGAGAGAATGGGTGACCATTTCAAAAACAATGTGTTCTTGTTTTGATTTGTTTTGTTTTTGTTTCAAGCTGCCTATCCCTAGAACTTTCTCAGGCAAACTGGGAAAAATGGTTGGCTCAATGTTTGAATTTATTCGGCCCTGAGGAAGAGAGATAGACCACGAAAATACATTTCAAGGAAATAGGAAAAATGATACAACGAATTTTTTGTTCCATTTTTGTTTCATTCTCTTTCGGTTTTGTTTTGTGTTATCTTGTTGGGTTGCATTATCTTTATAGTAGATTAGAAATTAGTAAAAAACAAACCGAAAGAGTGTTAAGTAAATTGTTAGAGATTCAGACCATGGAGAAAGACATTTTAGATCAAGTAAAAAAGAAGGTCTCTCGAGCTAGTGAGACAGAGGAAGAAAATTTAAAGGAGGAAGAACGTTCTTATCAGGGAAAAAGTTACAACAGGAGGCTGCTACTAACACCTTTCTATCACCAGAGTGCATATGTGTCCAACCAACTGCTCCACCTATAGAGACAACATATCCTATGGGGCCCCCAACCCCCGTAGTTGATAGATGGGATCCTGAGACAGGACCTCAAAGATTAGCATGCCCTGTATTTGAGCAGGCAGGAGGGCAGCGAATTCACCATGCTTTAGATTTCAAAACAGTGAAGCACTTAAAGAGGCTATAGCAAACCTATGGTCCCCAAGCACCCTTCACTGTAAGCATGGTCGAATCCATTACCAACTTGGATATGACACCAGCAAATTGGGCTAGCATGTGTAAATCTGTGCTAAATGGAGGACAATATTTGTTATGGAAGGTTTCCAATGAGGAATTTTGCATGGAGACAGCTAGGCAAAATGCAGCAGCTGGTTACCCTCAAAGAAATTTAGATATATTGTTAGGAAAAGGACCTTATGAGGGTCAACGGCATCAAATTGAATATGATCCTGCTATATATTTAGAAATTGCTGCAGATGCAATTAGGGCATGGAAGACTTTACAAAGAAATGTAGATTTACAAGGTCAATTATCTAAGATAATACAAGAAGCTAATGAACCTTACGCTGAATTTAGGCTTATTAAAACAGCTACCAGAGTTTTGGGGGACACAGAACAAGCAATGCCATTAATTAAACAGCTAGCCTTGGAGCAAGCAAATAGATAGTGCAAGGAGGCCATTAGAACATTGGAAACACGGAGATTTAAACACATATATTAAATTTTGTAGAGACATTAATGAACAAGGGCAAGTCTTGGCAGCTGCAGTACAACAGGTTTTAGATGCCAGGCCAAAAACATGCTACAATTGTGAACAAACAGGACATTTTAAAAGGAATTGCCCCATAGGAGGAGGGTTTAGCAAAGCTAGATATCAAAGGAATAGAATACTGGGTATATGCCCACGATGCCGTAAAGGGAGATATTGGGCTAATGAATGCCATTCTCAAACCACCATAGAGGGTACTCCTTTATCAAAAAACGAACAAGGACTAGGTGTTTACCCACAATATCCTGGAGAAAGGTATCAGGCTCCATTGCCAAAAAAATGAACAGGGAGGCCCAATGCTCCGGGGCCCACAACCACAAATATACTGGGCACTGGAGGAACCCAGAAACACCCTGGAGGAACCCAGCGACACCATCAGGGTAGTGCCCAGGACACATTGTCCATTAGATCTCTCATCAGACAAACCAGAGGGAGTGCAGGGTTGGACATCTGTGCCTCTGCCAGAGCAGTACTAACTCCAGAGATGGGAGTTCAAATCATTCTCACAGGGGTAAAAGGGCCTCTTCCCCAAGGAACAGTAGGCTTATTATTGGGATGCAGTTCTTCTACTCTAAAAGGACTTATGATAAGTCCTGGGGTAATTGATCCCGATTATGAGGGTGAAATAAAAATTATAGCTAGTTCTTCAGAGGGTATATCAGTAATTTCACCAGGAGATAGAATAGCACAGTTATTAATAATACCCAGCCTGCATGATAAATTATCCAGTAGTACTGTAGAAAGAGGTTCCAGGGGATTAGGCTCCACAGGTGTAGATTGTTCTATGCTGTCTTTAAATTTAGATTCTCACCCAATGCTAAAACTAAATATTCAAGAATATGAATTTAATGGACTACTTGATACAGGTGCAGACCTTAGCATCATATCTCGTCAAGAATGGCTGAAACATTGGCCATTACAACAGGCCACTCAAACGCTTCGAGGCCTAAGAGTGGCAACTAATCCCCATAGAAGTGCAATGGTATTAGATTGGAAGGATCCTGAAGGATGTGAAGGAACTATACAGCCATATGTATTGGATCATCTTCCTATAAATTTATGAGGATGAGATGTCCTAGATCAATTAGGTTTGACATTAACAAATATCATCAATCCAAGTGCTCCCACTGTTAGGGCTAGACAAGGTTTTAGGAAAGAAAAAAGATTAGGAGAACAAGAACAAGGTATAGCAGCACCAATTCAAACAGATCAAGGAATAAATAGACATGGATTGGGTTTTCAGAAAAGGTTCCTGAGACAATAAAAATTACTTGGAACTCAGAAAGACCAGTATGGGTTCCTCAGTGGCCCCTGACTTAAGAAAAGATACAAGCAGCCCATGACCTGGTTAAACAACAATTAGCGGAGGGACATATACAACCTTCCGTATCTCCCCATAATACTCCTATTTTTGTCATTAAAAAGAAATCTGGTAAATGGAGATTATTACAAGATTTAAGAGCCATTAATAATGAGATGGTTATTATGGGACCTGCTCAATCAAGGAGTCCTCAATTGTCTGCTTTGCCAGAAACCTGGTGTGTTTTAGCTATAGATATTAAAGATTGTTGTTTTTTTTTTCAATTCCATTTCATCCGGAGGATAGGCAATGTTTTGCATTTACTATCCCTGCACTAAATCATGAAGGTTCCGATCAGAGATATGAATGGAAAGTACTCCCTCAAGGGATGGCTTACAGCCCAACTATGTGTCAAATTTATGTTAACAAAGCAATCCAGCCACTTAGAAATCAAAATCCTGAACTACAAATATTTCACTATATGGATGATGTATTA